AAGTTCACCAAAAAAACAAAACATTTTTCCATTTTCCCGAAGCCCTTCTCATTACTTCTGGTATTCTTTAGCAGTACCACTATGCTAAACAGGGTGGATACAGAACAGATCTTCAAGCTCAAACCAGGCATTCATGAGACACTGTGGGCCATCAGCTCAACTAGAACTGTACTCAATCAGACTCAGAAACCTCATTGTCTAACATTTCCCTCACTTTATGATCAAACAATTAAACCAGCAGATCAACTTTTGATTAATGAGGAGAGCAAAACAAGAGCAGTATCAGGTAATATTAAAAATGAGCTGCCGGGCTGGTGGCATTACAGCACAGGGATAAGTGTATGCTAAACAGTGGAAGCAAAATACAGTAGACATTACTAAACAGTGCCACAATTACTGGATCTGAGCGAAGCTAATCAGTCCTGTCACAACCAGTTGTGGGTGGTGGTAAACAGTTAAACTAATAATGTGAGTAGCAGACTTTCATGTATAGGTCGGAAACAGTTAATACTTGACTAAATAGCTCGCACTACTCACTGTGAGGATATCATGGGAACTTGCTCTACAATGAAAATGGAGCTTATAGGATCCAGACCTAGGGTTATTGCGGTCTTAAAAGTCTCTGCAGTAAAACAAATCATACTCGTGTAACATATAAATCGTTACCATAATGCAATAAACTTCATATTGTTGCTCAACAAGAATCTTTTAGTTAGGCCAGAAAGGTGGATATTATAATCCACACTACATCACTTTGGGCTTGAAGGAACCGATTCCCATGGATCAACGGTGGTTTTTAACCACAAGATAGTGAGCTACAGTGACCCGCACTACTTCTAAATGGTGCAAACTAAGGCAATTTAAAATTTAGGTCTTCAACAAAGGCAGGGAAAAATATGCTGATGACCCAGTAGACTTCAAGAGAAACAAATGGTCCTGATTGGTGACAACAACAGACTCTAGAAATCTTGCGGTAACACTCAACACAAAAGAAAACTTCAGAGAATGGGACAGAAAACATTTCAGTCCTAACAGATGATGTACAGGAAGTGAGGAAATCTGGTTTCAAGTCACAGGTATAGACAACACTGCTAGGCAGTATCCTGTGGAAGCTGTCCCAACTTCAACTGAGCCAGTGAGCTGACCAGGCATTGTGAACTGCATGAGTCAAGACCAAACAGCACTTGCACAATTGGGAAAGCTTTAAATGGTGCAGTAATTCTTACTGAAAGGGCTGTAATTTTTTTGAAAAGTTGCAGCTCCAACCAGGCATCATGGCTTACCACATGGACATCAAGAGTTATGGCTGGAAAAATGAAACTAATGGGGCTACAAAATAAAGCTCTTATATTCTGGATGTGGTTAGGTACAGAAAACACTGAAAAAAACCCTTTAAAGCAGATAAGTGTAGGGCAATTTAAAGAAGTATACAATTCTAGTCCAACACAGATTTTCTTCATGGGACAAGTAGAACACAGCAGGAGACTGTGAGGCTTCAAATGCACTGGAAGCCTCCATTGCAGCTGCAAAACATGGGAAAACTGCCACTGCTACAGAACAAAAATCTTTAAAGAAGATTTTTTCTATTTTAATTAGATGTGGACATTACTGCCTAGGCCAGCACTTATTATTGGTACCTTGATGCCCTCTGGAAGATGGTGGTGAACCATTTTTGAACCCCTGCAGTCCATTTGGTGTAGATAGACACATAATCAGAAAAGAAGGAAGTTCCAGGATCTTGACCCTGTGGCACTGAAGGTGATATATTTCCCAGTCAGGAATGTGAGTGGCGTGGAGGGGAATTTGTAGTTGATAGTGTTCCCAATTATCTGCTGCTCTTCTCCTTCTAGATGATAGTGTCATGTGTTTGTAAGGTGTTATCTCTGGAGCCCTGGTGAATACATGTAGTTCATCCCATAGATGGTATGCACTGCTGCTAATAAGTGTCTGTGGTGGAAGGAGTGAATGTTTGTTGATGTGATGCCAATCAAGCGGGCTGTTTGTCAGGGATTGTGTCAAGGTTCTTGAATGTTGTTGGAGCTGAACTCATTCAAGCATGTGGGGAGTATACCATTACACTCCTGGCTTGTCCCTTGTAGATGGTGGACAGACTTTGGGGAGTCAGGAGGAGAGTTAATTGCTGCAAGATTCCTAGTCCCTGACTAGCTCTTGTAGTCACAGTATTTATATAGCTGGTCCAGTTGAGTTTCTAGTAAATGAAAAACCCAAGATACCCCGTAGAAATTCACCAAGGGTCATCAGACTGCATCTTCCAAACCCATAATCATTACCATCTAGAAAGATCTGAGCAGCAGATACGTAAGAATATATCTGGAAGTTTCACTCCAAACCATTTTATCATTCTGTGTTGAAAATATACCATTAATTCAGTGTTGCTGGTCAAAAATTCTGGAACAGTATCTCTTACAGAATTATAGATTATGCCTACACTAAATAGACTACAGCAGTTCAAGAAGGCAGCTGGCCACCACCTTTACAAAGGCAACCAGCAACAGGCAATACATGCTGGCCCAGGCAACAAAGCCCACATCCATGAATGAATAAAAAGAAAACAAATACAATTAGACAGGAGATACATATGCTGTTTTTAAGGTACAATTAATAATGCGGATTTTGGTTGATCACCTTTGGGAATAGGGGTTAAATTTGACCAGCCTTATCTTTTTGATCAAATACAAAGTTGCTGGAAAAGCTCAGCAGGTCCGGCAGCATCTGTGAAGGATAAAACAGAGTTAACATTTCAGGTCCGGTGA